AACAAACTGGAAGGGGGCGGGGGAGGCAGTAATAGTACTTGCTCTACAGCAACTTACATAGTCTAACAGGAATATACTAGTTGTGAGCAGTAAATGTGATCCAAAGTGAAATGTTGTAAGGGCAAGGAGATCCAAAGAGCTCTAAGAAAATTCAAAGTGCTATAATTTGAGGAGCTATCATGTTACTTCAACAAGATTATCCATTCTGCTGAAATAATACCTATGCTCCAAAAAGCTCAACACATCTATCCCATGCTATACCATTTCCCTGATAGCCTGAGTGTCTAAAGAGATAAATAAATGAAGATGGAAGGGCAGTGAATGATTTGGCTGGGATCACTCAGCTACTTCCATCTCTTTAATTAAGGGACCTTGCATGGCACCATGTATTTTCAATGGCAAAAGTCTGCCTCATTTCTATTTAACAAAGGTAGTGCAACGTGCCTAGTCAGGAGAACCAAAGGCAAAACACAAAAAAGTCTCTGCCCTCAAGGAGCTAATATTCTCTTAGAAGGCCTCCTATTTCTCAATGTCCACAAGAGCCCTGAAGTGGCCCTTCCTTAGGTCTACCTATGTTGTCCCTGCTGAAATTCCTCATCTGAGAGATCTTCTTTTGAATAATAAAGCCTCTTTTTTTAAGTGCAGAAAAGGAGACAGTTATCTCATTAAAGCACCAATCAGTCCTTTATATGGTATGGTATGAATTTGGTCAGATTTATACAGATTCCACATCTGATATTACCTAAAGCCAAAAAAAAAAGTGGAAGGTGTGAGGAGGGGGGAACTTGTTGGTTGTCTGCCTAATAGCAATAGTACACAACTTTTAAGTAGATAAAAAACATCAGTTGAGGCAAACTGTCTTTGAAATTATTCCTGTGGTTTTTCATGTTTCCCATGTGCCTCTTTGTAAATGTTTGTTTTCCCATAAGCTAAGCATAGTATAAACAAAGGTGGTGTCCACAAGCTAACAGAAAGAGTATATGCTGGCCCTGGAATCAGAAGGAACTGAGTTAAAATCCAACCTCAGACACTACTAACTGTGTGACCTTGGGCAAGTCATTTAGCCCTGTTTGCTTCAGTTTCTTCACCTGTAAAATGTGCTAGAGAAGGAAATGGAAAAGCACTCCATGTCTCCGCCAAAAACAAAGCAACAAAACAAAAACCCAAAAACCCCAAATGGAATCACAGACACGATTCAACAACAAAAAAGCTCCTATGGTGCCACCTTGAGGTAAGAGTTGGTTTTCAAAAAGTAATATAGTCCACAGTTCAAGTTAGGAAAGTAGAAACCTTTTCCTTTTAGTTTTTAATCTTCCTTCAGTGATAAGTCTCCATCCTTTCTTTACACTATACCACTTTGCTTTTAAAAATTAAGCTCTGGGGGTAGATGGGTGGCGAAGTGGATAGAGCACCAAGGACCTGAGTTCAAATTCAGCCTTACTAGCTGTGTGACCCTGGGCAAATCACTTGACCCCAACTGCCTCCGAAAAGAAAAAAAAAATAAGTTCTGGTCTAGGCGTAGGAATGTCACATTTTACATAGGGTTAGGTTCTAAAGTGAGTTCATAAGGCAAAAATTGCAAACAATGAAAATTAGGGATAACAAATGGACCTGTCATTATATTGCCATAGGGAACTCCCAGAGGAGCAAACTCCCCTCTTACCAATGCAAGTTAGCTATCAATAGGCTGTGGTTTAAAATTTTTTCATGCTTTGTTCTCACAATTTGCTAAAGATGCCATTACTTTCTTTTTCAGATGGAACTTTAACTTTAGGGGACAATTCCTTCCCCAATACCTGGTGGCTGCACTGGAAATGATGAAGACCTGAGCAAGGGGTTAAGCTGAGAAAGACTTTATTTCCAAAGTGGCATTCAAAATGCAGACCCTGCCCTAACCTTTATTTATGCCACTAGCCCAAGGAAGTAAGCAGCCCCACTACCACTACCTTCTCATTAGGAACACCTGGTAGTGCCCAGCCTGAGCATTTTTTCCTTCCATCACAAAAGCTCCAGCCAAGACTGAGATTAACAGGAGGCATCTATAATAATGTTCTTGTCCTCAAAAAGCAAATGGGTGGACTCTCTCTGTGGGGGTGCAGAGATTGGGGAGGTTAACAAAAATTTGAGGGACCAAGGCTTAGGAAGCCCCAGGAACTGTCAGATGGGGAGGGTTCCAGGACAAGAGCTTTGTCACCCAGGTTGTTCATCTCAGTTTGGCTCCCCTGCTTGGCCTGACAGGGAGGGAGGAGGGAAGGAAAGAAAGGATGGAGGTACTGTCCATTAACCACGGGAGCCACCTTACCAAGAAAGTTCTTACAGTCAATTTCACTTAAGTCAAATGATGATATGAAACTGATACATCTGTACAGTATTTGATTTATAATAGTTGTTTCAGTCACGTCTGAATCTTCATGACCCCATCTGGGGGTTTTCTTGGCAGAGGTATTGGAGTGCTTTGCCATTTCCTTTTCTAGTTCATTTTACAGATGAGGAAACTGAGGCAAACAGGGTTAAGGGATTTGACCAGGGTCATGCAACTAGTAAGTGTCTGAGGCTGGGTTTGAAAGATCAGTCTTCCTGACTTCAGGCCCAGCACTGGATCCAATTTGCCATCTAACTTCTCTTCTATTCAGAAGCAGTCAGCAAACAGAAGAGACAACAATATTCACCAAGGTCTACCACGTAGGTTGCTTCTTGTAACAACTTATGTGAACATGCCTAAACCAAAGCATTCTCATATACAAGGTAGCTGTATCAAAGATGATGGTTCGCTGACATTCACCAGCTGACAAATCCTGCCCTTATGCTTTATAAGCACTTCCTAATGGAAGTAACTCCTTCCTATAAGTAAACAGATAAATAAGGGACCACTGCCAAAAAGGGAGAAGGAAACACTTAGAATTAGGGCAACTTGGAGCAGGGAAGAGAAAAATTAACAAAACATCATTTGTTGCATTATGTACAAGACATCTTAACCTTTCTGGGCCTCAATTTCCTAATGTGGGAAATGTAGGTGTTGGGTTAGACAGCTATATAGTCATGGTCCCTTTCGGATGAAAAAAAAAAAAAAGAATTTCTATTTTTAGTGTGTGGTTCATCCAAATTGTGGATTGAACAAATGACCAGTTGGCTCCTTTGGAGCAGCTGCAAATGTACTTCGATGCCCCAGCATTCATTCATGCCTCGAGGTGTCCGACAAGCAAGGCCTCACTCAGCTGAAGGTACCTATTGGTACAGCATTTAGAGGCACTCTCCACTATCTTTAAGGATAAAGTTTTCCACTGGCGACCCCCTTCTGCAGTTCGGCAGTGGTTCAGTGACACTGTGTGGCCTGAGGGTGTGTATAATACGAAGTGCACATGCTTTGTGTTCACAACCAAGGCTGCAGTGAAGTTACATTTGGGCAAGAGCTGCCAGAAACACCTCAGATTCATTTATTACATGTTTGATTTTGAATTTTTAGTCATTGCACATTCAGAAACCTTTTACCACTATAAAATTTTTCAAGACCCCCATATGGGAACGTGACCCACAGTTTAAGATTGATCTAGAGCCCAGGATCACCTCCATAGGACTAAAGACAAAAAGACACTAAGGAGAGAATAAAAATAAATTAACAATTTGGATTGACTGATAACAATTAAAAAAATAACCAACCCACAAGTTGTACTGTCAAGATGAAAAGCATTTATTAGGCACTTACTATATGCCAGGCACACTGCTAAGCTCTGAGGATACAGAGAGGCAAAAATAAGTCCCTGCCCTAAAGGAGATGACCATCTAATGGAAGAGAGCTCACAATTACTGTACAGAGTAAAGACTTACAATTTTATATGCTTTCCTTCTATTCTGTTCTTTGCATAGAAAAATGTTCATGTTTGTTGATTTTATTAAGTTCATAGTAATAAAAAAAACTTAAAAACAAATGAACTGGCATATAGATACTGATATGCAAAGGACAGATGTAAGAATCAGCTAACACAATAAATCTCAATCACATGGAGAAAAATCCTGATAGTGTGATAGTTAGAGAAAAAGACTGTTAGGGTATTTCTGGAAATAATGGGTTGTGTTCTGTCATGATATTAGAGGGCAGGGACAGCTAGGTGGTGCAGTGGATAGAGCACTGGCCCTGGAGTCAGAAGAACCTGAGTTCAAATACGACGTCAGACACATGACACTTATGAGCTGTGTGACCCTGAGCAAGTCACTTAACCCCAATTGTCTCACACACACACACACACACACACACACATACACATAGAATTAAAAAAATATTAGAAGACACCCTGTTTTGCAGAGCTAAGGCCCAGGAAGCAGGCTGTGTGCTGAGCTTGGCATAGCAACCATCCTTTGCATTCACCCTCTGGCAAAATCACATAATTATTGTATTGCTTTAACCAGCAGCAGATATTCTCTGCACTCGGACAAGTACGCATATTCCAGTCATGAAGCCCTGCTATGAATTATTTGTCTCATTATTTCATTACCCCTCATTGTCAGGGCTACAGATCATTGCACAGCCATTGGTATAAGTACTGAGATCTCCCTACGCTGCCTCGGGTCACCCCACCAGGTGGGGGGCCCCAGCATATGTGTCTAAATCCTCTCCTTGCTTGCAAGCAATTTCCCTCACTTAGAAATTGAACTTCTGTTTGATCCCTGACTCTCCTGTCTCCAGCCTGCTCTGTTTCAGCTCCAGCCACCCATAATTTAGAGGCGGTTCCACCCAGCTGACAGTTTTAAGATGAGTAACAACAGAAATAATTATGATCAAAACCATTACATTTTGATGTGTGACCGCTCATTAATTTACCAGGAAAATTTTTTGAAAAAGTGATTGGGTTCAATTGCTAATTACTCCATACTTTACATTGTGTAGTAAAGTTACCTGCTATAAGGAGGTGATGTGAGCCTACATAAAGTTAGCACGTTTATAAATGGAATCTTCTGCATACGTGGGTAAGTGGGTGCTGAGGTACAAAGGCAGACATCAGAACTGCAGAAGCATAGCAATTCCTTTTTATTTAATAGAAAAGAGAACCAAAAATATGAGAGGACAGTTACGGCACTAGAAGGACTGTATGTGGTCTAAAACAATTCATGGTGCCACTTCCCGCCATCTGCACCTCTTTCTTGTCCCTTTTCTCTCAGTCTCACTTGTTTCTAGTTCCTTTCTTCCCTCAGACCTGTCAGGGCCAACGGCCAACCTATTCAGCCTTTCTTCTTCTCACTCAGGGACTACGAGGTTGCTGAGGCCCACGGGACAGATCCAAAAGCAATACAGGCAACGTCTGATTCAAAGAGCTCTCCTAATTCAGGAGCCTTTTGTTTGTAAAGATTTTTACTATTTCAGATGGTCTGTTGTGAGTACAGTAACTTGTAGATAAATGTACAGGTGCTGCCAGTGAGAATGAAATGCACTCTTCTTCATGTTAATACCTCTCATTCCATTCACGTGAAAAAACGAGACGAAATCCTCGTTGGTCGTGGTCAACCCAAAATAAAACTAAGAAAAAGAGGTTTCATGAACACAACTTAAGCAAGAAAGCCGAGAAATTCTCCCATTATAGTCGATTACAAATGGGTATCAGTCACACATATAAGTAAACAAAACTAAAGTAGCCGGCGGTCACTTGGTATCAAGAATCAGCTGGCCCTGAGCTCTGGACCAGAAAGGTAGCTGGGGAATTACAGTCTCATGCTTTTTTTGAAGAGATCTCCAGAAAATATTTTGGTGATCGAAGAAGAAATTTCCTTCTGTTGCTCTTTCCACTTCAGTATATTTTCTATCAGTTCTTCTGTCTCTACCTCCAAGACACTCATTTTTGTCAAAGCCCTATCCTAAAATATTTGAAAAGAAGAAGTGAGAAAATACATTTAAGTGAATATGTAGGTTACACAAGTTTAAGGTATGAAAATTAAACACTAGTTCAAAACTTCAAAGTTATTTGCAGCTTATTATATGAACAAACAAGACCTAACTTCTGAAAAAGTATGATTTAAAGAGAGTAAAGTATGTCAACTTCAAAAAGTCAACAAAACTAGACACTTAAAGTTGAACAAAAGAGCTACATGCAGTAGTTTATATAAGTGAACTAAAGCAGAGCAAAAACAGTAAGAAAATATGGTGCCAAAGTATACTTACCATATTTTTCACGCTAGAGTCTAAACAAGGAATGTTTCGTATGGCCTCAATATGGGCTTCAAGTTTCTCAATGAAAGTCACTGCCAGCTCCAGCAATTGTACCACATACCTAGGAAATCATGAGGGGGGAAAGGGGTTATCAACTATAACTTTAAGCAAAATTATTTTCTGGCTTTGGTTTTAATTTTTCCTTCTGCCAGAACTTCTGATTTCAGTTGAGAGGATTAAAACCTATCCTACAGCTTAATAACAGACTTGGCTTTTAAAGAAATGTATGGATCAAAAGGTTCAGAAATTAGCTGGCTGTTCCTCTTGTCTTTCAGGGGAGCCACACCCTATCATTCCATATAAATAAATGTCCATTCATCTAGTTCTTACAGATCCAAAAGGAATGAGATCGAATAATTATATTTGGAACTTAATCTAACACCCGCCAACCTTCAAATCAACAATTTTGTGTACCTGTAAATAAAACTGTCCCACAATTTCAACCCATTTCAAACCGATCTTCACACATTAGTAAGTTGTGTAGAGTAATACACTCCATTTAAAAACCATTCTGAGATGTTTGTGATCACAAACACTTTAAAATAATTATTTGTTCCTGGAGGTAGTGCTTTGTAGTGTTAATTAATTCCTATGTGCCTATGCACAAATGCACTAATATTCATGCATTATTTTACTGCTAGGTTAGAAAAACTTCAGCATAAAGGGTGGTAGTGATATGCTCACGGCTAAGCCAAGAGTCACTGGCAGAGAAAATATGAGGAAGCAGATTTTCAAGTTTTTGTTCTTTTGCTTAACATCTTATATTTGTATAACTATATATTTTTAAAACAATCCCACACACACTATCTCATCAGATCCTCACAAAACCCCTTGAAGGCAGGTAAGCAATGCAGTTATTTTCTCATCCCCATTCAGAAGATAACAAAACTCGTATCTCACCCATTGGGTTTTGTTTTGTTTTGGGCAAGGCTACTGGGGTCAAAGCCCATAGCTCACAACAGCCCTGTGAAGTTGTTGCTTGCCTACTTATTGAGGAAGGTGAGCCATGCAAGTCTTATATCCATTTTACAGATGAGGAAACAGATTTAGGGAGCTTACGGGACTTTCCTAGGGTCACACAGAATCTAAAAGTTGGAAGAGACTTCTGAAGTCATTTAGTCTAACCCATACTGCAACAAGAATGCCTTCCATCAGAGTACGCACCCAATGAGTGGTCATCCCGCCTTTGCTTAAAGACCTCCACTGAGAAGGAATCCACTATTTTCCAAGGGAGTCCATTCCAATTTTGTACAGCTCTAATAATTTCCCCTACATCAAGTATGAATCTCACTCTTTGCAACTTCCAACCATAACTCCTGATTGTGCCTTCTGGAGTCAAGCAGATTAAATATGACCCTTCCCCTTCCATTTGACAGCTCTTCAACCTCTCCTGTGGAAATGGAAAGTCAAAATAGTTTGAACGATTCTTGACCTCTTTGGAGCCTGATGCAATCAGTAACGTCTGGGAAAAAGGAGCATCTGCAGGACCTCAGCATCCTTCTTGACATAGTCCCTGCTCTGGATCTGCTCCACCTCAGGGGACAAATACCTTTGGCAAGCATCTCCCCATTTGACAGCTTGCTTGTCAGATGTTTACTTCAGAGGATGATCACAAAACAAGAGGCATTTCTGTTAACATCTTCCAAAGAGTCCTGAGTGATCTTGATGTAGACACATTCTGATAGAAAAGAGTCTGTAAGGAGGTCATCTGTTCTACTAAATCAAACTGATCCTTTTTGGTAATCAACAAACAATAAGCACAATAGGATCTCACTTTCTCTATTTCTGTTAACTATGAAATGGCAAAAATGTGGTTAATTGCTGAAGAAAGATTTCTAAAGTCTGCACCAATAACCTCACTGAAAATGCCTTCAATTCTTGTATAGAAGACTCTCATAAAGATCTTGTACAGACAGAAGAAAAGGCAGATGGGACAACATTTACTGCCTCCTCTAGGGTAAAACTCAAACTCCTATTTAGCATTTGAGCCTTTCACTATCTGATTCCAGATTACACACCCTGATGCATTGTATGATTCAGCCAAATTGGATTACTTGCTCCTATCCATATATAATATTTCATCTCTTGCCTCCATGCCTTTGCAAACATCATCTCCCTCATGCCTAGAATGCTCTCCCTCCTCATCTCCAACTATGAAAATCCCTATGGTCCTTTAGGGCTCACATCAAGTGCCACTTTCTTCAAGTATGTCTGTCTTTCCTAATTCTCCCCAATTGTTAATGTTCCACACTCTAAATCACCTTTTATTTTATGTGTGTATGTATATATAATACAGATATACAGATATATAGATATATGCTATATTTACTAATCTGTGAAGATGGTGTCTCTTCTCTGTAAAATCAAAACTCCTACAGTTCCAAAGGAGTCATGATGGAAAATGCTATCTACATTCAGAGAAAGACCTGATGAAAGTCTGAATGCAGATCGAAACACATTATTTTCACTTTATTTTTTTCATGTGTTTTTTTCCTTTTGGGTCTGCTTCTTCTTTCACAACTTGACTAATACGGAAATATGTTTTACATGATCACATATATATAACCTATATCAAATTGCTTACTGTTATAGGGAGACGGGAGGGAAGGGATGGAGGGTGAAAAATTTGGAACTCAAAACATTTTTTAAATGAATGTTAAAAACTGTCTTTACATGTAATTTGAAAAAAATAAAACACTATTTAAAATAAAGAAAAAAAAATCAGAACTCCTAGAGGACAGAGAATGTCTTACTTTTACATTTTTATCCCCAGAACCTACCCCAATGATTGACACATAGCAGGTACTTAATAAATGTTTATTGATCAATGAAATTATGACACAATAAGTGTCAGAGTTGGGATTTAAATCCAGGTATCTCCTGACTCCAAATCCAGTACTCGTTCTATTATCACATACTTCCTTCCAGACCCAGTCAAATGCTGTTTCCTGTATGAGGCCTTTACCAATCCCCCTGGCTGGAAATGATTTCTACCTCCTACTTTTGCTCCAAGCATTGCATTAGTACCTCTCTTATAGAATTAGTATAGGTTTGGTTATGCTTACAGTTGTCAGAATTATGCAATAACTAAGCTCTTCAAGGTCTATATCTTCTTTACCTTTGTATTTCTCCCAGGGACCCAGAAAAATAACTTGTACAAATTCGATGAATGAATAAATGCCTTGAAAATCATCAACTACAGTCACTACCATGAAAAGGAAAAACAATTTTCACTTTCAGCTCAGCATTTATCACTTTCAAAAATCTCCATGGAGAAAAACCACTAAACACATTGATCAAAGACAATCTTAGTAAAACCTAATAAAAAAGGCAACATAGTTCATGAAGTAGACAAGGGCCATAAGCAGCTTGCCGCTTGTAGCACACCAAAGGATTTCGGGTGGCCAGTGAAAAACGTAGAGGAAAACATCCTTTGTATGTAGAAGAAATCCTCTGCTGGGCTGCAAGTTGTGCAGGCCA